GTCCCCAAGCCGTGGTGACACCAGTGACCTTCAGGCCACTCTGTGCCCTTGTGGCCTCTCCAGATGGTGTCCCCAAGTTGTGGTGACCTCAGTGTCCCCTCAGGCCACCCTGGGGGTCTTGTGACCTCCCCACGAGTGTCCCCAAGCCCTGGTGACCCCGCTGTCCCCTTGAGGCCACCCTGGGGGTCTTGTGACCTCCCCACGAGTGTCCCCAAGCCCTGGTGACCCCGCTGTCCCCCCAGGCCACCATCCTGGTGTTCCAAGCGCTGGCCCAGTACCAGGTGGCCGCCAAGGCGCAGCAGCAGCTGGAGCTGGACGTGTCGGTGCTGCTGCCGCGCCGCGCCAGCCCCGTCAAGTATCGCATCGAGAACAGCAACGCGCTGGTGGCGCGCTCCACCGAGGTACCGGGCACTGTCATTGTCATTGTCACTGTCACTGTCACCTGGTGCTGTCACTGTCACCGTCATTGTCACCTGGCGCTGTCATTGTCGCTGTCACCTTGGCACTGTCATTGTCACTGTCATTGTTACCTGGCACTGTCATTGTCACCTGGGCACTGTCACTGTCACCGTCACTGTCCCTGGCACTGTCACTGTCATTGTCACCTGGTGCTGTCATTGTCACCTGGCACTGTCCCTGGCACTGTCACTGTCACTGTCCCTGGCACTGTCACTGTCATTGTCACCTGGTGCTATCACTGTCACCTGTCACTGTCACTGTCATTGTCACCTGGTGCTGTCACCTGGCACTGTCACCGTCACTGTCCCTGGCACTGTCACTGTCATTGTCACCTGGTGCTGTCACTGTCACCTGTCACTGTCACTGTCATTGTCACCTGGCACTGTCACTGTCACCTGGCACTGTCACCGTCACTGTCCCTGTCATTGTCATTGTCACCTTGGTACTATCACTGTCACCTGGCACTGTCACTGTCACCGTCACTGTCACTGTCATTGTCACTGTCACTGTCATTGTCACCTGGCACTGTCACTGTCACCTGGCACTGTCATTGTCACTGTCATTGTCACCTGGCATTGTCCCTGTCATCTGGCACTGTCCCTGTCACCTGTCACTGTCATTGTCACTGTCATTGTCACTGTCACTGTCATTGTCACCTGTCATTGTCACTGTCACCTGGCACTGTCCCTGGCACTGTCATTGTCACTGTCACCTGGCACTGTCACTGTCACCGTCACTGTCCCTGTCACTGTCACCTGGCACTGTCACTGTCATTGTCACTGTCATTGTCACCTGGTGCTGTCACTGTCACCTGGCACTGTCCCTGGCACTGTCATTATCACCTGGCATTGTCACTGTCAATTGTCACTGTCATTGTCATTGTCACTGTCATTGTCACCTGTCACTGTCAATTGTCACTGTCATTGTCACTGTCATTGTCACCTGGCGCTGTCACTGTCACCTGGCACTGTCACTGTCACCTTGGCACTGTCATTGTCACTGTCACTGTCACTGTCATTGTCACCTTGGCACTGTCACCTGGCACTGTCATTGTCACCTGTCATTGTCCCTGTCACCTGTCATTGTCACTGTCACGTAGCACTGTCACTGTCACCTGGCACTGTCATTGTCACCTTGGCACTGTCACTGTCATTGTCACTGTCACTTGGCACTGTCACTGTAACCTTGGCACTGTCATTGTCACTGTCATTGTCACCTGGCACTGTCACTGTAACCTTGGCACTGTCACTGTCACCTTT